AGAATTCCATAACGGTTGTTGGGATTGCCACCCAAACCTTAAGTTAGAAGTTCATGATCTTAAATTTACCTTTTTCTCATGTAATTTTGCTAGCACAATCAGAAGCAGGCTGCCCAGCAGGGCCGACATGGCTCAGTGGTTGAGTGTTGACCTATGAACCAGGAGGTCAAGGTTCAATTCCCAGTCAGGGCACATGCCAGGGTTGCAGACTCTATCCCCAGTAGGAAGGGGGGTGGCGGGGGGGGGGGGGGGGGTAGTGCAGGAGGCAGCCAATCAATGATTCTCTCTCATCTTTTTCTATCTCTCTCCCTCTTCCTTCCTCTCTGAAATCAATTATTTAAAAAATCAATCATCTCTAAAAAAAAAAAAAAAGAAAGAAAAAGAAAAGAAATAGGCTGCCCACGCAACAATATATGTAATCACCATTTGAAATCACCAGTTGTGACCATAGCAATCAAGTGCCTCGAGCGTTTTATCTCCTAATGCCTCTCCCTCCACCAGCATTCCACCCTAGACTATCACTGATGATAGTCTGAGTGATTGCGATGCTTCTCGTGCTCCAAATTATTAGTGTCCTCTTGTCATATACAAGGAAATTATCTGATTGCTTATCGGACATAAGAACAACCTAATCCATTTGTGAGGTCTATTTCCTGGGATCTCTTCTGGTACATTTACTGTATCTGTCAGGATCCTGGCACAAAACAGATGGCACACTCAAAAAAAGTTTAACCAGCCCTGGCTGGTTTGGCTCAGTGGATGGAGCGTCAGCCTGAGGACTGTAGGGTTTTAGGTTCGATTCCAGTCAAGGGCATCTACCTTAGTTGCAGGCACATAGCCAGTGGGGAGTGTGCAGGAGGCAGCTGATTGATGTTTCAAAAAAAAAAAAAATCAATAAAATATATTTTTAAAATAAAGTTTAACCAGAAAGATTTTAATAAAGGATTTTAATAATCTATTTAAGATGTGGAGTCAGGATTAAGGAACCAACAGGGGATGATGAAACACTCAGGGTTTAACAAATACTGGGAAGTTATTACTGTACCAAGGCCTGAGGGAGTAAGAGGAAGGACAGACTAATGAAGAGGAAGCGGCCTGATAGCATCTCTAAATGGTCAATCAGTGCTTCTCACATTCAGCACAGATAAGGGCCCCTGGAGGGTGTGTCAACATGCAGATTACTCCAGGTCTGGAGCAGGACCTGAGAATTGGCACTGATAACAAGTCCCCGGTGCTGCTGCTACCGCTGCTGCTGCAGCTATTGCTGTCCAAAGACAGTTCTTTGAGAACAACTGCCCCAGAGGAAATTGTTCACTTTCAGAACTGCAGAAAGAGGAAGGATTTGCGGAATTCATACTTCAACTGACTTGGCCTCCAGTGGGCCAAATCCGAACAAGAGCTAGAGGGCAAGGGGTCTTGAGTAATGCCGAGTGCAAAGGTTAGCCTTCCAGAGTTGAGAGCAGGGCGCAGAAGAGTGGATAATGGGGCGGGGGTTAGGGGATGGGGGTTAAGGGGACAAAAGAGACTAATCAGAACCACTGGTGGATAAGTGATGAAGAAGATGGATAGCTCAATAGAAAGATGGCTAGAGCCAAAGCCGGTTTGGCTCAATGGATAGAGCGTCGGCTTGGGGACCGCTCTATCCCCGGGTTCGATTCCGGTCAAGGGCATGTACCTTGGTTGCGGGCATATCCCCAGTGGGGGTGTGCAAGAGGCAGCTGATCGATGACTCTCTCATCGATGTTTCTAACTCTCTATCTCTCTCCCTTCCTCTCTGTAAAAAATCAATACAATATATTAAAAAAAAAAAAAAGATGGCTAGATGAATTAACTGACAAATATTTCCATAAAAGGGTACATTATAATAATGGTTAATAGTTAATGAATGTTTATTAACGAAATCCTAAACGAAATCCTTGACTCAGATTACCTAACTTTATCCCAAGAAGTAGGTCTATTACCATTCCTGATTTACAGATAAGGACATTGAGATACAAAAACTGGATCATTTGGCCAAAACCGGTTTGGCTCAGTGGTAGAGCATCGGTCTGCGGACTGAAGGGTCCCAGGTTCGATTCCTGTCAGGGGCATGTACATTGGTTGCGGGCACATCCCCAGTGGGGGGTGTGCAAGAGGCAGCTGGTCGATGTTTCTCTCTCATCAACGTTTCTAGCTCTCTATCTCTCTCCCTTCCTCTCTGTAAAAAATCAATAAAATATATTTTTTTAAAAACAACAAAAAACTAGATCATTTGCACATGGTCTCACAGCTAGCAAGTGGTAGGATCTGAATCCCAACCCAGGCATGCTAACTGTGGAGTCTTACTCCTCTCTACTCATCTATGATCAACCGACAGGTGGTAGGCAGGCAGTATGGGACAGTAGAAGAGTGTAAATTTTACAGTAAAATACACCTAGATTCAAGGCACTTGTTTGCTGTGTGACCTAGTATTCTAAGTATGTGTAAAACACAGATAATCCTATATAATAAAGAGGTAATATGCAATTGACCCTCATGCTCTTGTACAAAATGGCTGCCCACATGTGATCAAAGATGGCTGCCACAAGATGGCCAGCAGGGGAGGGTAGCTGTGGGTGATCAGACCAGCAGAGGAGTGCAGTTGGGGGTTACTGGGCCAGCAGGGGAGGGCAGTTGGAGGCAATCGGGCTGGCAGGCAAGAAAGTGAGCAGTTGGGAGCTAGCAGTCCCAGATTGTGAGAGGGACGTCTGACTGCCGGGATTGAGTCTAAACCAACAGTTGGACATTCCCCAAAGGGTCCCAGATTGGAGAAGGTGCAGGCTGGGCTGAGGGTCAACCCTCAGAGATTGGGCTAATGGGAAGGCATTTGAGGGGTTCCACACAAATTTTGTGCACTGGGCCTCCAGTAATATGATAATAATAAAAATGACTTTATGGTTTTCTTGGGAAAGTTAAGCAAGACAATAGTGGTAAAGTCCTTAATATGGATTATATTACTATATTACCTAGAATATAGTAAAGAAACATGAATGCTAATACTACTATTATTGTTATTATTAACGATGGAAAGAAAGATAAGTTAAAAACTTATGAGGGAATCACCACCCCATCCAGAAGAGGGTTCAAAGTTTAGCTGGGCTGACTGAATGGATATCCCACATATTAATTTCTCTTTTTTTAATGTACATATTTTATTGATTTTTTATTTTAATTTTATTTTTTAATATATTTTATTGATTTTTTTACAGAGAGGAAGAGAGAGGAATAGAGAGTTAGAAACATCGATGAGAGAGAATCATCAATCAGCTGCCTCTTGCACATCCCCTACTGGGGATGTGCCCGCAACCAAGGTACATGCCCTTGACCGGAATCAAACCTGGAACCTGTCAGTCCACAGGCGGAGGCTCTATCCACTGAGCCAAACCGGTTTAGGCAGAGAGAGTATTTTATTAATTTTTTACAGAGAGGAAGGGAGAGGGATAGAGAGTTAGAAACATTGATGAGAGAGAAATATCAACCAGCTGCCTCCTGCACACCCTCACTGGGGATGTGCCCGCAACCAATGTACATGCCCTTGACCGGAATCGAACCTGGGACCTTTCAGTCCGCAGACCAACGCTCTATCCACTGAGCCAAACCAGTTTCGGCTAATTTCTCTTTTGAGGCCTTCTCAACTGGCCTATCTCTAGTCTTTCTTATAAGGATGGGAAATCGCTTGTCCCCTTCCCCATCTGTTAATTCCTTGAAATTTGGAAATCTGTCTGAATATGAGCTGGCCAGTTTCTCTCCTTAGAAATCCCCTCTTGGTTCCCAGGATGGAGAGGAGGGGAGAGACGAAGGGGGCTGTTCTGGGCCAGGCTCCCTCCAGCTATTGCATCAACCAGGTGTCGGACAAGTGAAATTGGTCAGTAGAGAAAGGGTCAGAGCTCACTGAGCCAGGAAGTTGAATCCTAAAGGTCTGACCTGTGGGATGCGGGTGCTGGGCCTCCTTCCAAGCAACATGCCCTTTCAGTTCTGCTTGCCTCAAGGGAGGGCCTAGTTCCCAGATTACGGATGGGCAGGCCCCGTGATGACTTGGGGGCTACCCCAGCCTCCATGCTTGTGCTGAGGGCACCAGGAAGCCTTCTTTTCCTCCTGCACCAGAGAGAAGAGAAGAACCACAAAGAACAGAATGAGGATGAGGGATAAACCTAGGGAAGGGGGCCCTAGCCGGTATTGTGCGTGGTTAGAGCATCAGTTGTGCACTGAAGGGTCGCTGGTTCCATTCCTTGTCAAGGATGTGTACCTGGGTTGCAGGTTCCATCTTCTCAATGGGGCACAGGCAGGAGGCAACCAATCAACGTGTCTTTCTCACATTGATGTTTCCCTCTTTCTCTTCCCTCAGTCCTCCTCTCTCTCCTCACTTTCTCCCCTCTCCCCAGCTTTCCTCCTCCTGCTCTCTCTCCCTATCCCCCCTCCCTTCCACTTCCTGAAAATCAATGGGGAAAATATCCTCACGTGAGGCTTGACAACAACTACAAAAACGACCTAGAGAAGGGGGCACAGCTCCTCGCTCTGCCCCCCCTCCCCCAATCCTGGCCACCACCCCTGAAGGCCAGCTCTGCGGTTCACAATGCGAATGCCACCACACCACTGCGACAATAGTTGGGGCCCTCTTAGATCCTCAGAGCTAAAGCCAAGGCTGATGAGGGGAGGAGGGGAGAGGGAGGGAAAGAAGGGTCATATTCCCAGAAAGAGGCGGAGCTGGGGGCGTGGGGGAGGGGGGGGGCAAAGGGGAATCCACAGAATGAATTTGGAGGGGAATTTTTTATGAGAGATAGTGAAAGTTCTGGTCCATAAATAAGAAGCAGTCGCAACCTCACACAGCCTTCCACACTCTGACTTCCAGGCCCCTGCACACTGCACGCCTGTGGCATCCCAACTCCCAGCCAACCTCAGCCTCACGCAGCCTCCTGCCGAAGCTCAGAGACACTCACACGCACACTCTACTCTCGCTGTCCGTCAGCCTCCGCTCACTCTCCATGGCATCCCCTGCAGCTGCTCTGCTGGCCATCAGCCTGCTGGTCCTGTGGGCCTCCCCGGGTAAGGCTGCGGGAGGGAGGCTGGCGGGGTGGGGAGGGGAGAGGGGATGTCTGGCCCCCAGACTGCTCGGCGCTGGGCACGTGGGACGCTGGGAGTTAGGTCTGCCTGGGTCAGTGAACCTGGAGTGTCCTGTGTGTATGCCAGTGAGGGCGGGTATATCTGGGCCCCGAATTCCAACATGTGTCTGTCTCTTCACGTATCGGAGGGCCTCTGGCTGCCCCTCTCTCTGTGAGCTCTATTTCCTGCTGCCTCAGTATCCCAGGCAGAAAGAGAGAAATGTATTTGCTCAAGGTGGGGACAATGAGAGATGCTGAGGCAGATCTAATAGTCAAAATATTTAACAAATCAGCCGAAACCGGTTTGGCTCAGTGGAGAGAGCGTCGGTCTGTGGATTGAAGGGTCCCAAGTTCAATTCCGGTCAAGGGCATGTACAGTGGTTGCTGGCACATCCCCGATAAGGGGGTGTGCAGCAGGCGGCTGGTTGATGTTTCTCTCTCATCGATGTTTCTGGCTCTCTGTCCCACCCCACCCCCCTTCCTCTCTGTAAAAAATCAATAAAAATATATTTTAAAAAATATATTTAACAATTCATAAATCCCCTAATCCTAACTCTACCCCACAACCACCATCAATTCAATGCTGTGACCAACATTAACTTTTCGTTTGTGGGGGAGTCGAGAAGCCCTGAGTGAGAGACTGGGGCATTGGGGCCGCAGGAAGGCATTTGTGGGGTAGTTAGTTACCAAAGAGCGTGTAAGTATTTCAGTAAAGTTTGCAACCAAGAGGGCCCCGTACATACACACACACACACACACACGGCTGTCCAGAATCCCCGTGAGCGCTGTGGCCTCCCTCCTCAGGGTCCAATGCTCTAACACTACCTTCTCTGGCTCCTGGCCACCCAGCTCAGGGAGGTGCCAACGACGCAGAAGACTGCTGCCTGTCTGTGGCCCTGAACCCCATCCCTGGGAATATCGTGAGAGGCTATCGGTACCTCCGCATCCAGGATGGCTGCCGAGTGCCCGCCGTCGTGTGAGTTGTAGCGAGGAGTGCATCAAGCCTCACCTCCCATCGACTCCCGCGCCCCCCCCCTCTCCCCCCCCCCCACCCCCCGCCTCCTTCTCTGTCTTCTTCTGGCCAAGCCCAACCCTTCAAGGAAGCCCCTGAGACACTTTTAGGATGTGGTCCTCAGCTCCTGCCCCACACACCTGGGTCTGCCAGGAAGCTGGGTTCCAGGGCTCCGTTCCCTCTGACCTCTGACCTCTGACCCCAGGTTCATCACCAAGAGAGGTCGCAAGCTTTGCGCGCCGCCAGACCAGCCCTGGGTGAACCGCATCATCCACAGACTGCTGAGGAAATCTGCCAAGGCAAGCCCGCCCTCCCGCCGGCCTCCCCCCTCCGAACCCCTGCCCGAGACCCCAGCCCAACACCTCCCCCTCCTTCCTCCCCCAGAGCAAGCGCCACAGCAGTTAGCCCCTGAGCCTCCCAGGAAGACCTGCGTCTGGGTGAAGGGATGTGAATCGCTGCCGCCCTGGAGACCCAAGGACCAGAAGAGAGAACCTCAGCTCCTCTGCACCAGACCTGACAAAGCCAGGCAGGGCCTGGAGTGTCTGAGTGTGAGTGTGAGTGTGAGAGGGTGAGTGGCAGGAGCACAGTTTCTCCACACCCAGACTGCAATGCTTCCAATAAAGCCCACTGGCACCACAGATTCGTCTGTTCGCTGTTTGTCCAGGATGACTGGGTAGGAAGGGGGAGATGGAATGGCAGGATCTATTCTTTCCTTTTTTTTTTTTTTTAATAATTCTTTATTGTTGAAACTACTACATATGTCCCCTTTCACCCCCATTGACACCCTCCAGTCCACCCTCACACCCCTCCCCCCACCCCAGGGGCTTACCACCCCATTGTCTGTGTCCCTGGGCCACGCACACATCCACACAAGGTCTTTGGTTGATTACCTCCCACCCTCCCACACTCCCCCACCTTCCCTACTAGATCCCGCACTCTGTCCCAGGCTTGGCAGGATCTACTTTCCCCTCTGCAACCTGAGCAACCTTCTCATCCACCTTCTCCTAATGCCCTTTTTCTCAAGAGAAGCTGCCACAACCAGGGCCTGCCGCCTGTCTCCTCAAAATCCTGTCACACTCCATGGTTCAGCAACACTAACTCTGTGTCAGTCCCCTGAACAAGCCAAACTCTCCACCTCCCAGCCTCAGCTCATCAAAGCTGTTCGTGGATCAGGTGTCACTGGGGGAAGGGAGTTGTCAGGGACTTGCTCTCATGGCCAGAGGAGAGACTGGGACCAGCTCCCCTGCCTGGGGGAAGGTACCCTTCTACCCATGCCATCCCCTCTGTTTGGAATGCTCGTCTCTCTCCTGCTCAGAGGACTGCCCATCTAGGTCTGGATGACAAGGAAGCATTCCTGACCCCAGGCTGGGGTTAGACAGCCTTCCTGTCTCTCCAGCTCCCAGAGACCCTATCCCCCCTCCTCACAGCACTCATCACACTGAGTTATAATGAACCGTTTGTCAGCCTTCCGGGACAGGGGCTTTGTCTATTTGGTTCCCACTGACTCCCTGGTGCTCAGCACACTGCCTGGCACAAAGTAGTTACTCAGAGATTTTTCTAGAAAGTGAACACATATGTCGAAAAGACTTTACAGCCAGGCTCATCTGTCCATACAGGCTCTAACCTCCAGGCCAGCTCTCCTCTCTCATCCAGACAGTCTGGGCCAGGCCCAGCGCCATCTGGGGCCACCCTTCTCAGGATACTGACAGACAAGCCTGGGAGCCAGGAGTGAGAGGTGGGAGAGAAGGAGGGGCAGCCCGGGAAGCTAGAGCGGTTCTGTCTGAAGGAAGCTCCCCAACCCCTGAAGCCCATAGGGCTCCAGAGCTGAGGCAAGAATGATTCAAGGGGGTTCCCAGGCGGGGGAACCTAGGCTCTGGGAGACCAAAGTCCTAGAACTCCCGAGTCCCGGGACAAATTGTTAAAAATCGGGACTGTCCCGCCAAAAGCGGGACGCCTGTCACCTTACCCTAGGGCAGCTCTGCGGGGAGTAAACCTCTTGTGTGTGGGAAATCCCCCGGGGCTGCTGGCTGGCCTCCCAGCCATGGCCTCTGAGGTCCAGCTGGGAGCAGCAAGTCTGAGCCACTGGGGTTGAATGGCAGCTGGAACGCCAGACTACGCATGTTCAGTTGACAAGAGCGGCCAACATTTTACCAGATGTAACTCATCTGGTAACAAAGCCAGGCCTGCGCAGGCCTGGGCAGCCTGGGAAGGGAAGAAGCAGGGAGAGGGCTGTGCCAGCCTGTGCCAGCCTGTGCCGCGCCAGCACAGCCAAGGGTGAACCCCAGGAGGGGCGGCGAAGGATTGAAGAAGAGACAGACAAGAGAAGACAGCAGCTGGGGCTCATGGATCCCCCGTGCCTGGATGAGGAGACCCAGCTGTAAGCAGATGCTTTACTTTATAGTCCGATTAAAACAAGGGTGGAATGATATGTATACAAATGCTCTTGTTTTGGCACTACTTACTGCACCTCCCACAGCCCATTAGCTACTTAGGAAGGAATTAGAGAGGTCGACAAGGCCAGGCTTAATTGTGCTGAGAGAGCTCTGCCCTCTGGGCTGGGACTTGTTGGTGGCCCAGACACAGGTCAGCCCAAGGCTTGGCCCTAGAGCCGCTCCCGGCACCAGACCTGCCTCCCTGAGCTGAGAGCATAACAGCTTCTTCCCCCCTCTGTTCCCAGAGCAGGTGTTTACAGCCTCGGGTTTCTCAGGTCTCAGAGTTACAAGGAGTGGAAGGGATGGGGATTTTTCAAGAACACTGTTATGGCTGGGAAGTTTGGCTCTGCTGCCTGGGGGGAAATTACCCATCCATTCATGCATCCATGCATCCATCCACCTAATGTCCCTGCATCCATTAGACCTCCATCCACCCTCCCCACCCTCCCCTGCACACACACATCCATCCATTAAACCATCCATCAAGTCAGCCAGCCATGGAGTTCAAAGGCCCCAGGTGTGAATGCCATTTTTATTCTATCCCCTGCACCCCAGCAGGCATAGAACAAACATAGGTGGGGGGTGGGGGGGGCTCCCTGCCTCAACTTCTTCTCAGTTCTCAGCGAAGCCACGCAGAGGCCAGCTAACCACAAAGGCAGACACGGACTGTCCCTCCGGACCCTCAGGAGGACACGCAGATAGAGTAGGGGAGGGGAGAAGGGGCGGCCTGAAGAAGATGCCAGCAGGACAGAGGTCCCTGAACACTACTTCCCTGTTACTGCCACTGCCACTGCCACTGCCACTGCCACTGCCACCTCCACTGCCACTGGGTGTTACAGGAAGAGGCTTTGGGCTCAGTGCTCAGCCATCAATCCCACAATCCTGTTCCCACCCCTCACTGTTCAATTCTAGGCAAGATTTTTCTTTACCACGTCCCCTGCTCAACGCCTTAGTTCCCCCATCTGTCAGGTGTGTGTGTGGGGGGGGGGGTAGCTTAACTTTTTAGTCCCTCCAAAGACTTGACTCATAAATCTTTGGATCCCTCAGGAAAGGAGATAATGCAGGAGTGAACTTCCTCTAAGAGAATGAAGAACTTAGAGGAAGTCTGGGGGCACACAGCAAAGTCCCAGAGAGAGCAGGCACACAGCCCTCCCGCCTTTTCTCCACCCAGTGCCTCTCCTCCTGGCTTGCTCCCTTCCTTTGTCCGCATGCCCAGCCACCAATCCTGGGTGCTGGGTTTGTCTTCTCATCGCCCACCAGAAACATGAGCGCTTAGCCCGGCAATTCGGGGCTTGTCCTGGCTCACTCAAACATTCTCAGTTCTGTGACTTCATCCGACCAACACCTGCTCTCTGTTTCACTGTCATTCACTGTTAAATGTGGTGTCTTTTTTTTTCCAATACGTTTTTATTGTTGTTGTTTTGTTAATATATTTTATTGATTTTTTTTTTTTTTTTTTTTTTTTTTTTACAGAGAGAAAGGGAAAGGAATAGAGAATTAGAAACATCAATGAGAGGGAAACATCGATCAGCTGCCTCCTGCACACCTCCTACTGGGGTTGTGCCTGCAACCAACATACATGCCCTTGACGGGAATCAAACCTGGGACCTTTCAGTCCGCAAGCCGACGCTCTATCCACTGAGCCAAACTGGTTAGGGTTGTTTTGTTTGTGGGTTGTTTTTTTTGTTTGTTTGTTTGTTTTTAAGAGTAAAAGAATAAGGGAGAGGGAGAGAGAGAAGCATCGGTAAGAGAGAAACATTAATGAGAGAGAAACATTGATCAGCTGCCTCCTGCAGGCAACGAACCAAAATCAAAGCTGCAACCTTTCAGGACACAGGATGATGCTCAACCAACTGGGCCACACCGGCCAGGGCTGTGGCATTTATTTATCCTGAGTTCTGGTAAGCCAGAAGCCAATCTGCCTCCCTGACAATGATGAAGCTGCCACCAGCTAAGGGGTGGTGTGGACTCCTAGCTCCTCAATCAGAATACGGGGACCTTGCTACCTGCCTATAAGTAAACACCTTTCTCTTTAGGGCGATGGGTCATCAATAAGTGGTCCACGAGGTACAAAAGGTTGGCGACCCCTGGTTTAAGAAAACCTTTCACATGGTACCTGCTACAGGTTTTTTAGTTTGTTTGTTTGTTTTTTATCTGACACCATCTTTAATGGGCAGTGTGGGCACAGGGCGGGCAGCAAACTGGCTTGAAGGTGCTCCGGGGTTGGGGGAGGGCACGACGGGGTCCCCACTCCCAGCCAGCTGGAGGCCAGGCTGGGCCAGCTGTGGGGAGCCCACCTCATGCCTCCTTGGGCAGCCAGGGGAGAGGTGGAGCAGCTCAGGGCTGGGCGGCTGGGGACAGCAGCCCCCCTGCTTCAGGTTTAAGGCCAACAGCCAAGTGAGACCTCTCTACCCAACAGCCAGCATCTCCCTAAAGGGACCTGTCATCCCTGCTTTATCGGCAGACAAAAAGCTCCCTGTCCGTTTTTTGTTTTTTTTTACTTATTGTTGACAGTCCCCGTCCTGTCTATTGATAAAGTTCCCAGGGGCTGGCACAGAACAACAACAACAACAACAAATGGAATGAGTCGAGTCCAGTTTGGCTCAATGGATAGAGCGTTGTCTTGGGGACTGAAGGGTCCCGGGTTCGATTCTGGTCAAGGGCATGTACCTTGGTTGCGGGCATATCCTCAGTCGGGGGTGTGCAAGAGGCAACTGATGGTGACTCTCTCTCATTGATGTTTCTAACTCTGTATCTCTCTCCCTTCCTCTCTGTACAAAATCAATAAAATATATATTTTTTTTAAATGGAATGAGCATGGCTCTTTCCCACCATGCCCCTCCCACTCACACCTGGAGCACATCCAGTTCTCACAGCGGTGTTGTGGGTAATTGGTCAGAGCCAGCCAGCCCTACGCAGTTTTGATCATATTTTCATCATCTCATGTCAACTTCTTGGTAAGCCCCCACCCTT